GTGAAGTGAAATTTAAAAAAAAAATTGTTTAGCTTTAGAAAAAGGAAACATATCATTAACATAGCATTTTCCTTTCCTCTGGTAAGAAAATATGTCTTTAAACTGCTGATATTAAGAAATTCTCTAAAATGCAAGATGAAGAATTTATACTAAACAGTTCATATACTAGTATCATATTCATTTATTCCACAGATATTTACTAATGGACTAAAAAGACACTCTGGATTTTGGGAAAGAAGATTTTAGAGAATATAGGTCAAGAAAGAAGATGCACATACCAAAAGAACAAGTTATGTTTAGAGAATGTTAACCTGTCTGATTGAGTTGGAATGCATGGTTTATGGAAAACAGTAAAAGACAGGTTCTATTTAAAAATAAATAATCAATCATTCCTAACTGAATTATTTTTCAAATGGAAATGGGTAAGCTTTTTTTTTTAATGTGCAACAGAAATTATTTAGGGCATTAAGTCACGAATGTTGGCAAACACTACCAAGAACTCTGAAGGGTCTGATGTTATTTTTCCCTCCTTACAAACTAACAAATCAGTCTGCGTACTTAACTGGATACTGCCAGAAGACAGTTATTTCCTTGGTCAGACACAAAAGGACTTTACTGCTCAGGTACAGCAGGAGCGTCATGCTCTCATCCATTCCTCATGGCCTCAAGTCCCAAGGTAAATGTGAAGCAGCCCACATGATGTCAAGCATGCAGTGATGTCATATACAGCTGAGGAACTTCAAACTCAGGAAATCCAGTCTTAGAAGGGAACAGCTAGCATTCCTGTCCATCTTTTGCCACAATGGGGAAAGACATTATCTCTATTATCTTGGGTGGTAAACAAATCTGCCCTCCAACCTAAATAGGAGACACTGTCTCTATCTCCAAGGCTGTTTGTTATATGAACAACCTTAGAAAGACAATCTGGAACAAGAGTTGATAATGTCTTTGATTAGACACACAAAAATACAAAAGACCCATGAAGAATATCTTCCCACATGCATAAACTACAGTTAATATATTATATATGCTATTATATAACCTAGTAACTCATCTCGTCTACTTTATCAAAGAGCCAAAAAGGAATTTAAGAATTTCAGCTTTTCTTTAGAAAAGTAATCTGTGCAGTTATCACATGAAACAAAGGTGCTCCTATATATTTTATTAAAATTGAAGATGTAATATGACAAAGAATGAGTAAAATTTTGAGCTTTAAAAAACATTCACTTGTATTAACATTTTTAAAGGTTCCTACAACACCACCATGTGAGGTACTTAATGTGTACAAGAATTAATGCTTTATCAAGTCAAAGGTAAGTAAATTAGATCCAATTTCTCAGCCCAAATATCAGTCTTCTTGTAGAGAAACAATACTTATTCTTCCTGATACAGTGGAAGTTTCAACCTCTTAAAAATATTTTTTAAAAATTACAAATTATCACAAATCTGCTTTCCCATGTAAAAAAAAAATCATTAAAAAATATGAACTCCATGAAAATTATATACCTGTACAAAAACATAAAACTTCTAAACTGAGAATATATTTTTAATACAACCATTAACTATAATCAAACAAAAGATGATAAATTCCTTTTCAAAAATATATATATATAGCTTTTTGTAGATAGAAGCTGAACTACTTCAGCTTGAAACTCTTTATTCTGAGTACAGGCAGTCCCCAGGTTAACATACAAAATCCGTTCCTAAGTGTGTCTTTAAGTTGAATTTGCAGGTAAGTTAGAATAGGTGCATATGTTGTTGTTGTTGTTAGGTGCCGTAGAGTCATTTCCGATTCATAGCGACCCCATACACAGCAAAATGAAACACTGCCTGATTCCACACCAGCTCCATGATCTCTGCTATACTTGAGCCTATAATTGCAGCCACCGTGTCAATCCATCTCGTTGAAGGCCTCCCCTTCTTTTGTCGACCCTCCACCCTACCAAGCATGACATCCTTCTCCAAAGAATGGTCCCTTCTGACAACACAACCAAAATAGGTGAGACGAAGTCTGGCCGTTCTCGCTTCCAAGGTGTATTTCGGGTGTACTTCCTCCAGGACAGATCTGTTAGTTCTTTTAACAGTCCATGGTACCTTCAGCATTCTTCACCAGCACCACAACTCAAAAGCATCAACTCTTCTTCAGTCTTCCTCATTCATTGTCCAGCTCTCACCTGATATGAGGCAATTGGAAATAACATGGCTTCTGTCAAGCACACCTTAGTCCTCAAGGAGACATCCTTGCTCCTCAGCACTTGAAAGAGTGCCTTTGCGGTTGACTTTCCCAATGCTACACGTCGTCTAATGTCCTGACTGCTGCTTCCATTGTCATTGATTGTAGAACCAAGCAACATGAATTCTTTGACAACCTCAATGTTCTCTCCATTTATCGTGATGCTGCTCATTGGTCCAGTTGTGAGGATTTTTGTTTTCTTTATTGAGACGTAATCCACACTGCAGAGTGTATTCTTCAACCTTCATCAGTAAGTGCCTCAAGTCATTCTCACTTTCCCCAAGCAAAGTTACATAGTCTGCGTATCTCAGGTTGTTAATGATTCTTCCTCCAATCCTGATGCCACGTTTTTCTTCATATAGTCCAGCTTCTCGGATTATTTGCTCAGTATATTGATTGAATAAGTATGGGGAAAGGATACAACCCTGACACACTCCCTTCCTGATTTTAAACCATGCAGTGTCCCCTTGTTCTGTTTGAATGACAACCTCCTGGTCACAGTACAGGTTCTTCATGAGTATAATCAAGTGCTCGGAATCCCCATTCTTCTCAATGTTATCCATAATTTGTCATGATCCACACAATCAAATGCCTTTGAATAGTCAATAAAGCACAAGTAGACATCTTTCTGGTATTATTTGCCTTGAGCCAAGATCCATCTGACAACAGCTACGATATCCCTTGTTCCACGTCCTCTTCTGAATGCAGCTTGCACCTCTGGAAGTCCTCTGTCAGTATACTGCTGCAACCGTTTTTGAATTATCTTCAGTAAGATCTTACTTGCGTGCGATATTAATGATATTGCTCGATAATTTCCACAATCTGTAGGATCACCTTTCTTTGGAATGGGTACAAATATGGATCTCTTCCAGTCAGTTGGCCAGGTAGCTGTCTTCCAAATCT